GCGTGGCAGAATTTCTCGACGCGCTCCTCCAGAAGGCTGTGGCGGAGTGTCATGATAGTATTTAATATGCTGTTGATTATGGTGGTAGAATTGTCCGATCAGAATTTAATAAAGTGTAACTTATAACGCCTCGAAGGTCAAGGAAGGAAAGTGACTTTTTGCCCCCCCCCTGTGTAGAGGAAAAGGGTTTTTCGGGGCAAGTCCGCCAGACGGACGAGAAGGGCTTCAACGGCTGTTTGTGCAAAGCAGAGATCACCATTAAACAGCCTCGGGAACTTTTTTCATCTTCAGTGAGACATTTACAGTTGTGCACGAAGATCCTTTCAGATAACCTTAACTGCTTAGCCGAATATCGCGGATTTTTTCTTTCTTGCTTCATTTGCTTACAGAAAGAAAGTTATCGGATCCTGCCAATCCTGCTGATTGTCGTAAGGAGACTGTCAAGTAGCGATTTCAGGTTGTGTTGCCAGAGCTAGCAGTTTTACGATTTGCTGTTTACGACGAGAATGGGAAACAACTGGGACAGCGGATTCTGCCGCTTGATGGCCTTCAAGCTGGATATCGACATATTTCCCTGCGATCCGACACAAATCAGGTAATCCCTATTCCCAAAAATTGAGTCTGGCTCTTGGCGGGTTAAAATCTCGGTTTGCATTCAGACTATGGTTCTCGCACCAACTTTGTTCGTTCACATTGTCATAAAGACCTACGTTCCTGACGAGCTGAGCGGTAGGTCTGCTCTCCTATATGTGCGAGTAACGTCGATTGTGATTTCTGGAAATTTCAGGCCTGGTGGACGCTTTGGCAGATCCAAGAGCTTACCTTTCTGAGCAGAAGAAACGGCAAGAGGCACTGGCTCACATGGGCGTTGACGACAGTGATATTGTTGAGGTGAGTTTTTCCGGCCTAAATGACTCAGCGCTCTCTTTTCTAGAAGAAAATTCCTTTCTCTTCAGGTCCCCGCTGGAAAAACTGCTGCTACCAAAGGTAAAGTTCTTCAGAAGACAAATGGGTCGGCCGCAAATTTGCTAAGCGAGTGAGTTTTTTTGATTCTTTTTGCGCTTCTCAATTCAGTTCTACAGTATCAATCGTAGCCGAACAGCCGTTGCTAGCCGTTTTGTTAGCCTGATACCAGGGTACTTTTAGCTGTCTAGGAAAACGTTTGTGATATCCCTCCTCCCTCCCTCCCTCCCTCCCCAAATTTCTTCTGGCAAGGTCTCCCCAGCTCATCTCCCTGAAGTTTCCCCTGCGGGAAAGGAGACAAAAATTCATTCCGAACTTTGAAGTATGGGGGAAGGGGGGGGCGTAGGTGGTGCCAAATGGGTATACGGTGGACATGTGTGGGTACTATTTGCTGCGGACACTGGAGCGTTTCAGGGAGGGGGGGGCGGGGGTAAATTGGCCCTTCGGCGGCCAGTTTTTCACTAGTTGTCGCCTGCTAGCCACAGTCAGTGGTGAACGAGCTGGTGCCGCGCCAAAACCAGCCACCCTCCCCCCTGCCCCCCCCCCCCCCATCGAAACGCCTCCGCGTCCGCAGATTGCGAAGACTAATCGAATACAGTTTTCACTTTATGCTGTAGTTTAATATTATACTTCAGGATTTTATCCAGTAACTGTAACTCTCCTAACCGGAAGTTAATGGGAGATGTTTCAGGAAAGAAAATCCGCCAACTTCCGCTCGCTCGGATGGTTGCGTAGCCACATCCGGTACATCCAAGGTCAACAACGAAGCGGCTCCGGCACCAGTAGACAAATTCAAGGTAAGGATTTTGTAAACCGTATAGGTATAGCTCTGGATAGCCGAGTTGCGACATCGCGCGCAGCCTTATTATTCCTTGGCTGAACGCCTGGAGCGAATGCTGCGCGCGCGACACCATTTGCAACGCCTCTTTTGCTGCCATTGTGGCTACTCGGCTATCCCGAGCTCTCTGGGTCATATATTTGTGTTGTAATATTAATACATCTGCGATACTATAGTAAGTTGAGGAAAACAGGCGGGATACCGTGCCCCCGAAAATCGCGCGTGAGATCAAACGTGTCGGCTCCGTGAATGCACGCAATTAGGCATACTGTTTCGGTTTGATCACCCCAACATATTTCTCCAGGGTGAGGCCAGGAAGCGAGAGCAACGCAAAATCCAGCTTTCTTCTGGCCAGGAGCTTTCAAGGCAGGATGTTGTGTGCAATCGCTGCTCCTACACAATCAGTTTTGCGCGCAGTTTGTTACTGTAACCCGCCTGTTTTCCTGAACTTATAATTTAGTGTATAAGTTTACTTCAATCATATCGTCTTTACACATCAGCTATCATTGGGAGGTCATGGCGGCAAGCGCTCATTTGTACGGCATGGTAGGCACGATGACAGTCCTACGCATCTGTCAGCGCCTCCAAATGCACGGAAACCGAGTTCAGAAGCTGAAGCAAGGTCCATGTATGGATCTGTGAGACGTCCACGTCATGAGGAAAAGTTGCAGGTGGAGCTGCACGCTCCTTCCCCGGAATGCTGATCACTTTTTCTTGTTATGCGATCCCTTTTTGACCATAAAATCCCCTCAATACCTCAATTTTCCGTCGTTATCGTATTATCCCTGTTCTTGAGATGCTGTTCAGAATCCAACGATTCCTTCTGGCGGTATTCCAATAAGATGGAGTATTTTGGTGCACAATACGTGAACGAGGGGATAAGAATTCGTGGCGCAGTTCGGCTTGGTGGGTGCAAGAAATGGTACTCAGCGAAGCCTGTACAGCCCACCATGTGAAGATTTGTGGATTTTTGTAACCAAACTAGCTCACTTGAACCATCCCGCAGATTCACAAGAGTTCACAGATCTCAAAAAAATGAGACCTTTATTTGACATTAACTAGCAAATGGAATCAGCGAAAGAGCAGAATGCTCCTTCCAAGCCAAACAGCGCCGAACTTTCACCCAATCCGGAGTGAGGAATGTCAGTGTGGGTGAAACTTTCCTCACGAGATGTCAACATCTTTCTTTGCGCAAACGAGTCTGTTAACCCACCCTGGAGTTTCTTCTCCCAGGGCTCGTAACTTTTCATAGCCCTGAAAGACTCCTTGTGCAAAACTGGGATAGCCGTCATCTGCCCTACTTTACTGAACTATTGCACCAAAATGCCCTACCTTACTGGCATAGCCCGAATTTTTTCCTGTAATTTTTATTCTAGGTCGAGCCAATTGATGTGGACGAATTGAAGAAGGACAAAGTTTTTGCGAAACTGTTGAAGAAATTCCAAAAGGATAGTGAGGAATTGAAGAAGAAACATCAAAAGCAACGTGATAGCATACAAAAACAACAGGTTTGCGATTGAATGTTGAGATTTCGTCTTCTAAGGGGGTGGAGTGTCGGCTGAGGAGGCGGTGCTGCCGTTCCAGCGTTATTGGTCCAAGGACATTGGCTCACATCCCCCACCGCCAAGGGGTGCACCCGAAGCCCTTTCACAAATGACGCTAGGACCGCTGCACCGCCTCTAATCCAGGGCTGGCACCGACTTTAAGTTGCTGTTAACCCTATTTCCTTGCCTGATATTGTAACTGTGCCACAATCTTTTTAGCTGAGAGAACTTCGAATTTGGGTTACTGAGTTTCGGAGGGGGCACACGGCGGAAGTTGGCGTCAAGAGAGAACTACTTGGCCGCGCTTCTGCGTCAGACGACCAGTGGCCGAAGGAAACCTGTGCAAAGATCAAAACGTCCACTTAGGCATGTCCTGCCGTTGGGGAGGATTTTTGCTGAAGTAGTACGACCGCCTCCTCTCTGAATTTAGTCCTCTGTACCAATAGCGCACTCAAAACAGAAAAAAAAACCGAGAAAAGTCAACAATCAAAAGCGTTTTTCTCACTGGCAGATACTATCTCCTATAGTGACCAGACCAACCTCGCTAGGGATCCCCAACGCCTGACGTGCCGTGGGCCCCACTAATCTTGGTTCCTGCCTTGGTTAAGGGAGAGACACAGAGGCGCGGTCAGGTGGTCCCCCATAGGCAAAGGGCACGTTGTCTGGGTGCGGGCGGTTGCTGCCAACGTCACTGGTGGAAGGGATGCGAAAAGGCGTGTAGCCTCACCCCATTTAGCCCCTCCACCACTGACGTTGGCAGTAAGCGCCCATCCCCAGCCATCGTACCGCTTTGTGCCTTTAAGTACGTTAACGACCCGGCTGTGTACTCGCCTGCGCCTCCCACCACGATAGTGGTCTGCGAGAGCGCTGTCTTGCCAGGAGGCGCAGACAAACACACTGCCCCTCTCGCTCTTCTCAGTGACTGAAAGGGACGGCTCCTAGTCCCGCCAAGTGCCCCCAACTCCAGCAGAACTTGAACTTCTTATAATAATGGCAATGTGTCAGTGATAATGCTTACAGCCACCAAGACGCGCCTCAATCGCTTGGATTGTAAGTTTTTACGTGCTAAGGCTACCGCTTCTAACTTTCTCTCTTGGCTTTAGTGATACCTTTTGTAATTGATTTTAATTAATTCACTACTAATTAGTCGGTCGCAATGTGAGCGACGACAAATAACAAAGGTTTGCCGTTGGAATTCAAGCTAATATGTAAACAGTTTAGTTATTGGAGTTTTGTTCGGTGAAATGTGCGAGCTTTTTTTGTTTTAAAGTTGTGACGTCTTATGACATTGATTAGGCTCATCCAACCCGTGTTAGCGTTCGTGACGCGCAAAAGATCATGCCGTATGAAGTGATATATCTGTAGTTGAACGCTGTTTCATCTACCGTTTCCATATTATCGTTTTAGCAAACAAATGTAGACAAGCTGATGACGAACAATCGGCGTTCAACAAGGAAGGAAAAAGGTGGACGGCGGCAAACGAGTGACTGCAGCGATGGTGCAGGGGCCAGTGACATGGCGAACAACGATCGAGTAAGAGTTTTTTCTTAATATCAACTCACAGCTCATTCTACGGCTCACGGTTCACTGTGCACCGTGAGCCATAGAATTGCAAATCACTAGGTGGGACTGGACCTAAAGACACACTACCCCGATTACTTGGGAGGTGAAAATCCTCTGGTTACAGGGAGAACATGTCCACAGGCGCAGAAGTGTACCACTTTCGCCACTGAAAAGTCCGTAGGAATGGGCTAGATCATGTGATTGATTGATGCTCCTTGATGTCCCCGCCCACCATTCTAAACATTATACGTCCCGCTGCGCATCTGCTCTCTCTCTTACCGAGCGAGCGTTTTGTGGATGTGATTTAGACCGGTGAGACTTTTTCTGGACGATTCTGTGAAGAAACCGTATTTACCTCGACGGAAGCCTCGTCAACCAATCCTACGGAACATTGTCTGAGAGAGCAGACGAGCAGCACGTGGACGATTTGGATGACGGGCGAAGCTACCAGAAAAAAAACAAGCCCCTAGCTTCCCTACTGCTCACCCTCGAGCAGTAAACATTCTGCTACATTTCTGCTGCAGGAGACCTGACCCCCCCCTCCCTTATACACGGAAGGTACCACCTCTCTAGTAATCGTACAGACCTAATCACCAACTTATTCTTGGAAGGTACTGCCTCTCTGGTAATCGTAAAAAGTGTCTTCAAGCGAGCATTTCTTCAGGTTCGGTCACTTGTCAATGTCCAGACTGATGAATGGTCAGCGATGATGAGGCGGCATGAAGCAGAGGAGTTTGAGCTGAGGAAGTCACAGTTAAAAGAACAGACTGAAACACTCAGGTGAGTAGGAAGTTAATGTTTGAAGGCGAAGGTTGTATTAACGCGATCCGGTATGAGTTGTCCGATCGCGAAGTACGAACGCGCTTTCGCTTCTGCTTGGATATTGTTGTTCTCCGTCCCCCAGTTCAATGAAGTAAGTTACGGCTTCCAGGAAACTTCTGTTGGAAGCACAGAAGGCACAAATGCAAGGTCTCAAACTGCGACTGGAAAGCGAAACAAAGGAGCTCAAGCAAACGCAGACCAAGAAGAGCATGGAAGATGCAAAAATTCTCAATCTCGTAAGTGGATGCCCCCTCCCAGTTTTGTTTTTTGCGCTCATAGCTTATTTCTACTTAAACGCTGTGTTTCAGGACAAAGGAATCAAAACGAAGGCGGAGAGGGAACGAAGGTTAAAAGAGCTGCATGAGAAGAACTTGAAGATGTTTGTTGAGGAGCGGAAGCGATTAGCGAAGAAGTCAGTGAAATTGCTCTTTTGCAGTTGCTTTTTATTTCTATATGATGTTTATTTGTGATCTCTTAAGGGCGGAGAAACACGAGGAGCAGCTTGCGAAACGCCATCAAGACCAACTCGAGCAACTTGATAAAGAAGCTGCTCGGGCGTTGGAACAGGAAGAAGCTAATTTCAGGGAAGATCAGTTGTCTTCTAAACCGGCGTCTTTGGTCTAGCTACAGCTAAGGTATGCACTGTTTTTGATTTCGGGGCAGTTCAGCGACGGCGGAGGGCATTCTGTGCTTTTGCTACTTCCGATCGACTTGTCGACCCATCTAGAGGGCTCCCTCTCATGAGTTTACAAGAGTTGACGGGTTTTACCATAGTAGTCCGATGAACTTGCTCTAGCTTCACAAGTGTTCACATGATTTAGCAGAGTGAGACTTGTAAACCGGAACTAGCGAAGCAGAAGTGAGAAATGCTCCCTCGTAGCCGAACTGCGTCTTATATGTTTTGTATATGCGAATGCTGACGCCAAACGCAGTTCGGCTGGTGTGGGCAGCGCGAATGGTGACAGACTAAACTTGTACAGACTCCTTGTGGAGAACTGTATGTTTCTGTGACCAAAAAGGCTCACTCGGTGATTTTCATACTTTACAGAAGGTTTGCAGATCTCACCAGTGGGACCTGCAAACTGTAAAGCTGTGGAAGTCTGGCGAGTGAGTTGACATGTACTAACAAAAAAGAACTAGCCAAAGTGCAGAGTGCCCCTCCAAGCCGAACAGCGCCCTGACGCTATTCTGATGTAATGGGGATATTAAA